GTGACCCTGCGGTCTTGGGTCCTTGTCCCTACACCACCAGCTAGCCCCATGCCTTTTGAACAATGCTCAGCTTACAGCTAACCCCATTATCCTAGACGATTTAGGGAGGAGCAGCCCTCTGCAATTTTCATGGCCTTCTCAATGATCAGACAGTCCCTCTGCTATGAAATAAATAGCTGTGTCCTGGAAATAGGGGGGAAAGACCCGCAGTTTTAGTATTGGAATGCAAATGAGCAATTAGAGTCAATTAAAACAGGATACAGTATAATTACCACCAATTGTGCTAACCTTTATATTCAGAAGGACTTGACCTGCTGAAAGGAAATTAAACAATAGTGTAAAAAAAAATCTCTTTTTTAAACCAAAGGGTGTGCTTTGGGCAAGAGTCTCCGTTCAGAGGCCTGAAAGGTCTGAGATGAGACCCTCCTTCCTCCACGCCCACCTCTCTGGGTCCCAAGCCACTACTGGCAGTGGCCAGGAACAGCCAGGCTTGCTGGTACGTTGGCAATGACCGCATTGTGCCCGTAACCAGACCCTGCATAATTTAGCATAATGCCTGAACCCTTGGCTCTTCCAGGCAAATCCTAGGGCCTCAATCATCCTGAAAATGAACTTTGTACCTAAACTTCCTTGCCCTCCTTCATTGGGCTAGTCTGTCTTTTAAAGGCAGATCTCTTGTGGTTTCCTTATTTCTGAACACTCCTTAAAATCTAATGCAATTTTCTGAACCCCATTTTCTGTGGATCCAGCATTTCAAATGGACAAAATACAAATGCTATTCGGAAGACCGGCATTCTGACCTCAGGGCCCAGATATCAGCCTACTGACTTGTTTCTCTAACATATTTATTGAGCACATTTTACGTGCCATATGCCAACCTGGGCACCGTGGATCCAGCAGGGGAAGTAAAAGACACAACACCCTTTCCTTGTGGAACTTACTTGTTAGAAATCTCAAGCTTACAAGGCAATGAAACAGCTGACAGAGAACCGCTGTAGTGCTGGGAGGGTGCTGGGGGACTGGGGGCTAGATGTGGGGTGGGGGTCCAGGAGGACGTGCCAGACATGGTTTATAGGGGAAGAGGGCGGCTCCTGAGGCAAGACTGAGATGCTTCAAACCCACCAATGGGGGCCTCTGCTGCCTGATGCGGCAGATGGGACGGTGACATTGCAGCTGGAAGGCAGGACCCCTGCCTTTGAGGAATCCTCAGCCTTGTGGGGATTCAGGCATACCCAGGGCTAACACTGTGGGTGGCCCGGGGAGCCAGGATGGACTTTATGGACAAAGAGAGGCATGAAAAGGCAGGGAGGCCCGGAGGAGGCCTGGCACACTCCCCAGCAGCGAGGAACCTGGCACAGCGGAGAGCAGAGTGCTTGGGGGAGGGGAGGAGGCCGGTCAAGTCGCACAGCAAGTCGGGGCAGCGCCAGGGTTGGAGCACAGGGTCGTCTGACTCAGAGCCCAGCCCTTTGCTCTATATCCCACAAGCCTGAGCGTGAGACTGGGAGGGAGACTCAGGGACAGGAAGACACAGGACAGACTCGGAGTGTTAACACTTGGGCCACCATGTGGGTTTGTCACATGACTGAGAAGAACGGTGACGGGGGGCCCTGGGGATAAGGATGAAGGGGTGAGGTGTAGTTTCCAAATGTAGTTGGAGATCAGGTTGGCAGGACTTGCTGCTGCTGCTGGGACATGGAGGAAGCTGAGGCCAGCAGCAAGGCAGACCCTGGCTTGAGCTCCTGGAGGACAGCCTGGAGGTGCCTCCGTGTCCCAGTGGACCAGATTCTGTGCTCATTTCCTCATTCTTGGCTGGTTCTGTACCTTCCTTGCCTGACTGAGCCTTTCCCATTCCTACTGGAGATTCAGCTCCAGCCTCGCCATCACAGCCCGCAGAAGGCTTCATCCCTTTACAGAGACCCTCCAGCCTGTCTCTGTAGCCTCCTTTTCTGGCTGCACGCTGCGCCAGTGGGTTCACGACCCCAGGCACCCCACTCACACGCACACATTCAGCAGTTCTGTCCTTGAGCACAGGACCTGGTCTTACCATTGTCAGGGCCAGGACTGAGGCCCTGCAGCAGACTGCAAGTGCATAAGTGAAAAATGGACCAGACCAAGGGAAACAGATAGTGGGTTTCTCCCCAGTTGATGATGGCACTGTGTGGAGTCCTGTGCACAGCGTCCTAAGGTCACATCCAGGCTTAGGTGTATTGTGATCAACTAGTGATGTCTGGCAGCAGCACAGGAAGGGAGTGGCTGCGTGCATGCCATTTCTGTGCAAGCTCTTGATGACAAATTCTGTTTGTTTGGACCTTCTGCAGCTGTTCTCGGGAAAAATCAAAGGTGATGTTCACATGTCCGGGATAGAGGCAGATTAGAAGAGCCTTTTAGAAGAGCTGGGCCAGCGGTGCGTTTCAGCTTTCACACTGCTCTCCACTTGTGTGCATTACATAATGATGCCCCTAAGCCACCTTTTGTACCCTGACTCGAGGCTCTCAAACGTCGGCTTATAAAGGAATTTTTCTAGCTAATGCCTGCCAGCCAGTGGTTTCATTTTGGCAGCCTGACTTCGTTGTCTGCACTGTGGTCTCTGGGCAGTTCACCTGAATATTTTCTTTCCCGTGTAGTTTTATTAAATGAGTGTAAAAAGGAGAGTGTGGGTGCCCATGGAGGGAGTAGCGTTTTCCTAAAAATAATATAGGGCAGAGCATCTACTTAGAATTCTGAACAATGGAATTGCTTCAAAATAATCATCAGCCATTTAATAAATCATGCCACTGTGCTGACCGAGGAGCAATCTACTCTACATGTTGCATTTGGCCAGGCTATAAATGCCCCTTAATGACACGCCAGTGGCCCAGTCCACTCCAGACAGACCAGGCAGAGCACAACCAACAAATGTAGTCACATCAGGATGATCCCACAGATGAAGGACAAATTTCTGTGATTTTCATTTGTTCTTGTGTTTTACATGATAATGTTCTTTTCCCTAAATTTTGTGAGCATTGGGGGTTAAACTCCAGAAATGTCATGAATCAGGTCTTGGGCATTCTGGATAATTAATCTTCTGCCATACAACAGAGAACAGTAGAAATTATACAATGAAAGCAGTAGATTTTAGCCTCCCCAGCTTTATAGACATAAGCTGGTTGACTGGAGAGTGGGGTCATTTTGAAGGAAGCAAATCAAGAACTTATGAAATGCTACAGATGTATGACAGTTTTGTAAGCTAAGAGAATGGAGATTTTACAGCACTCTTAGGTCTCTGGACAGGAACCATCAACCCTTGTTGCTTACTGGTCTCTAATTTGCTGCTGCTGCTGCTGTTGTTACTATTATTATTATTATTATTT